ATATATATATATAAATATATATATATATATATGGCCTTGACTAGGATGACTCTTCAAAAAACAAAACAAAAGTTGCCTTTCCAAAGTATAAAATGGGATCTTTGAAATGTGGATTCTTGGTATCATCAGATCAAGTGTGGAAGGAGGAAAGATGAAAACAATGGACAGCGGGAATCCTCCACAACAGTTAGAAACAAGAACCTGATGTTCACAGAGCAAACCAGATGCATCTCGGAAATGCAGAGCTAAGTGACACAATGAGAAATACTGGGAGGTCCGTAGCACAGGACCATTTGTCGATTAAAAGTACCAGTCTCAAATGACCACAAACATGTTTACAAGTCTGATCAATAAATGGTAGTTAAAAGGATTTAAACAAAGGCAATAGAATGGTAGCAGGGAGGCGTGGTGGAAACAGGAACAAAAAAATGAGAGGCAGGAAAGAAAGTGGCTTTGTGTAGATCAATGACAGCAATGTGTTTTAAGCTAGAGTATGGAGTGTGTGCGTGTGTGTGTGTGTGTGTGTGTGTGTGTGTGTGTGTGTGTGTAAGAGAGAGAAAATAACTAGCACCACCTAGGCATAAAAAAGGTCTCAACTTTATACTTCAAATTGGGTCAAAATGTGCTCATTACTAAAAATCTGTTTTCTTAGCAAAATAGAATTAAAGTGGAAGCAGGAAAAACCCAGAGAGGAGGCTTTCATGTGCACCTTGGCACCCCCAGAACCTGGCACGCTTAGAATATAAGCGAGCACAAATAATTGAGTCTGTGCTTGTTGGGATGATAAGTGAATAACTGTGACAAGGTCTGTGTTGAGAAGGTGGAAGCACATCATTCCTTAACTGGCTACCTCTGAGTGCTTCTCCATAAAACTCACTGCCATGGACTCACTGCTGACTCAGAGAGACTCGATAGGTCACTTATAGGTCAAGGTAGACCTGCACCCGTGGGTTCCTGAGGCTGTAACTCTTTATGGGAGTAGAAAGCCTCCTCTTTCTCCTGCAGAGTGACTGATGGTTTCAAACTGCTGACCTGTGGTTCGCAGCCCAACCAGAGTTAAAGGTTTACTCTTAGTGATCAGATTACAAATTAAATCACCATAATACTGGATTTTCATCTTCTTTGAAAAGTGACTCTACAGTTCAGCGGTGACTTGGACTCTGTGATAGTCTGGGTACTTTGGAGAAACAAATCCACAGAAACTCATGTATAAGAGAGAGTTTTATATAAAGGTTAAGTGAACATTAAGAAAACATCCCAATCCAGTGCTGCCCAAGCCCACAAGTCCAACATTAACCCACATGCCTGACACCAATCCACAAAGTCCTCCTCCATCTCACAAAACAGATGCAATGATGCTGACTGCAGGAGGAAAGCCGAATCAGTGA